GTGACCCCACATGGAAACGTGAAGTGGGACGTCCCAGGAGCCTGGCGATGAGAAGGATCCAAGCGAGGAGATTGTTTTTTGGGTCGCTGAGGAGGTAGCCTTTAGCCTTCTGGGATTTGGCGTAGGCTGTGCGGTTCAAGGGGAAGAAGGGTTCGGGGTTAGGGTTTCGGTTTAGGGCCATATTTAGTTCAAGGCTTGTTTTTACCTTTCTTGGGTCAAGCTACTGAGACCCTGCCTAAGGTTTGCTTCGACAGGAAGAGTGCGTGGAGCATCCCATTAGTTCTCTCTTGGAGCCACGCAAGTGACAGCGTCTTCGCGTGTTTGCTGCTTCTGCTGAATGCCTCCATGCAGATCCTTTTCATCGTCATCCTCTTATCTCCAGAGTTCCTTGGTGAAGACTTCTCTGAGCAGCTGGAGAGTGCGAAAGAGTGGCGCCGAAGCTTTGCTCACGACTACCTCTACGTGGACTTAGCGGAGAAGAGCCTTGCGACCAAGGCTCGGGCAAAAAGGAACTGAAAGTCATGTCGATGTCTGTTGAGTTCTCTTCTACTGCAAGCACTGTGGTTCGAGCATGTGCCATTCAAGCAGACGGCCCATGATTCGATCGCGCCCTGTTCACTCACCATAACAGTTCATAGCAGGGTTGTCCTGTGATGGTGAGCCTGTGCTACTACGACCGTCCTTTGGAGAGGGTTGCTCATGTCCACACCAGTCCCCCTGAAAGGGACGATGCGATAAAGGGGTCGGTCATGTGTCTTCGCGAAGAGTCTCGGATTCAGGAGGAACGAGGGTTCGATGGTTCGAATTGAAGATGCGACGTGGGATTTCCTGACGATCGTCCTGCGCCAGAAACACCCGCCAGGGATTCGAAAACCTGCAAGTCCGGAGCTCGAAAAGGTCGCCGCATGGTGTCGCAACAGCAGCAAGCTTGAAAGTAACGGAGAACCCTAAACCCTAAACCCTAAACCCTAAACCCTAAACCCTAAACCCTAAACCCCTAAACCCTAAACCCTAAACCCTAAACCCTAAACTGTGTGGACGGAGCACTTGACCGTGCGCGACTCCTTGCTCTTGGGTGTGAAGCGGTCGCTGGCAAGGGTTTAGGGTTTAGGGTTTAGGGTTTAGGGTTTAGGGTTTAGGGTTTAGGGTTTATGGTTTAGGGTTTCCTCGCTCTTAGGCCAAACATCTTGTCGCGAGATGTGTGCCTTCGAGACAGGCGCCCTTTTATCGGGGCCCGAAAGAATTGCCCATACTATTTTAGGGGCCCCAATATTTCTCTATACAATTTTGATTGGGGTCCTTATTATGATTATAGTACAATATACCCGAAAAACCTATTCTAATTATTAAGGCCCCTACAGTGTTCACTCATGCTCCTGCTTATCACTTTGGTACAATATCCACCAAAACCTTCGAAATCCTCAGTGCGGAAATCGGAGGCTTATACTGCTTCCGAACATGCTGGGTTCTTGTCAGTGGTAGTAATTTGAGTTAACCTCCCCAACAAGAACCCAGTATATTAAGACCCCCAAACCCAATCCATAAGCCCCCATAAGCCCCAAGCCCTATAGATCTCTCATCGATCCTGGAGGTCTGCGATGAAGAGCCCAAAACTCCAAAACCCAAACCTGTAAACCCTAAAACCCCTATTCTGGAAACTTAAAGTAAGTTCCTAAGACCAAGAACACAGAAGTATCCTAAACCCGCATAGATCCCTATTGGATCCCTTACCCTTATAGACCCCACATGTAGAATCCAGAAGCATCGAGGTCTGCGATGAAGAACCCTAACCTTAGAGGGCCTAGACCCTAAACCCTAAACCCTAAACCCTAAACCCTAAACCCTAAACCCTAAACCCTAAACCCTAAACCCTAAACCCTAAACCCTAAACTAAAACCCTAAAGCCCGAGATCCCCAAAGCCCTCAACCCCCAAAGCCCTAAACCCCTAAAGCCCCAAGCCCCTAAACTGCTAAAGCCCTACACCCCTAAAACCGCTAAAACCCCTAAAAACCCCTAAAACCCCTAAAACTCCTAAAAACCCCTAAAACCCCTAAACTCCCTAAAACCCTTAAAGAGTCCAGAAGCACGGAGGTCTGCGATGAAGATGGCTCTCTGATCTTCTCCACTGCGCAGGTGGCACTTGTTGGTAACCCGGCGGCTAGGGTTTTGGGTTTAGGGTTTAGGGTTTAGGGTTTAGGGCCTTAGCTTTTTTACTGGGCTCTTGAGAAGGATTCTAGTTTAAGTTGCCATAATTGGGATCTATGGTACGTAGTCGGGTTGCCTTGTTATGGTAACTTAGCTTAACCTACCTAGCAAGACCCCAGTTTAGTGTTCTGAGGAATCGTTCTAACTTACATTACAATAAACTCCAAGGGATTACTAGAGATATTATGTCAGTTACGGTTAAAAAGGGGGCTTTAGTAGCAGAAAGCTTGACCTGCAACATACAGCTGTAACAGGACAGACGATTAGTTATTGTTGCAGCAGTAGCAGGGGTGGGAGCAGCAGCAGCAGCAACTGTAGAAGTGCCAGTAACAGCATCGTAGAGTTGCAGTAACTGTACTGGTGGCAGTAGCCGTAGCAGTGGCTGTTGCTGCAGTGTCGTAGTCGTCGTCGTAGTCGTAGTAGTAGGAGAGGGAAGAGGAGGTGGTGTAGAAGTGCCAGCAGTAGCAGTCGCGGTAGCTAGTAGCTGCCAGTAGGAGGAGGCGTCGTTGTAGTAGTAGTAGTAGTAGTAGTAGTAGTAGTAGTAGAAGCAGTAGTAGAAGCAGTAGTAGTAGCAGTAGTAGTAGCAGTAGTAGTATTAGTAGTAGTAGTAGTAGTAGTAGTAGTAGAAGCAGTAGTAGAAGCAGTAGTAGAAGCAG